TGAGAAGTAATTCAGTTATCTCCTAGGACAGACACAAGACTCCATTATGCACATGGTGACTACAAAGCATTAAAATATTATAAAATACACAAAGTCACATTTTATACATAAAACACAGACATGTCACATATCCCCAGATAGCTGGGATCTGAGCGCACAAAACTACCGAATAGCGCTCAGATCCTATTCACACAGTTCAATTGCCGTGGAGCCGAAGTCTTTAACTACACGAATGGGCTCCATGGCATAGCAATCTGGGTTAACACATTCACATAAAGTCTGGTCCATAATCCAAAGGCAAGAGGCGGGCAAGCAGCCCCCTCCAAGGACACGTGGCGAGGCTGGTTTTGCCACACCATATCTGCCAAGTGACCCTATGTAGGGGGAACAGTCCCTATTCTACTCTGTGTCAGTGTGTTTCAGGGATCCTTAGGACAGGTGTCAATCCATATCTGCCAAGTGACCCTATATAGGGGAAACAGTCTCTATTCTGCTCTGTGTACTGACATGATCTCTGAGGACAGGTGTCAATCCATATCTGCCAAGAGACCCTATGTAGGGGGAACAGTCCGTATTCTGCTCTGTGTCAGTGTGTATCAGGGATCGTTAGGATAGGTGTCAATCCATATCTGCCAAGTGACCTTATGTAGGGGGAACAGTCCCTATTCTGCTCTGTGTCGGTGTGTATCAGGGATCCTTAGGACAGGTGTCAATCCATATCTGCCAAGTGATCCTATGTAGGAGAACAGTCTCTATTCTACTCTGTGTCAGTGTGTATCAGGGGCTCTGAGGACAGGCGTCAATCCATATCTGTCCCTATTCTGCTCTGTGTCAGTGTGTATCATGGTCTCTGAGGACAGGTGTCAATCCATATCTGCCAAGTGACCCTATGTAGGGGGAACAGTCTCTATTCTGCTCTGTGTCAGTGTGTATCATGTTTTCTGAGGACAGGTGTCAATCCATATCTACCAAGTGACCCTATGTAGGGGGAACAGTCCCTATTCTGCTCTGTGTCAGTGTGTATCGGGGGCTCTGAGGACAGGTGTCAATCCATATCTGCCAAGTGACCCTATGTAGGGGGAACAGTCTCTATTCTGCTCTGTGTCAGTGTGTATCATGGTCTCTGAGGACAGGTGTCAATCCATATCTGCCAAGTGACCCTATGTAGGGGGAACAGTCCAGTGACCCTATGTAGGAGGAACAGTCTCTATTCTGCTCTGTGTCAGTGTGTATCATGGTCTTTGAGGACAGGTGTCAATCCATACCTGCCAAGTGACCCTATGTAGGGGGAACAGTCCCTATTCTGCTCTGTGTCAGTTTGTATCAGGGATCATTATGATAGGTTTCAATCCATATCTGCCAAGTGACCCTATGTAGGGGGAACAGTCCCTGTTCTGCTCTGTGTCAGTGTGTATCAGGGATCCTTAGGACAGTTGTCAATCCATATCTGCCAAGTGACCCTATGTAGGGGGAACAGTCTCTATTCTGCTCTGTGTCAGTGTGTATCATCATCTCTGAGGACAGGTGTCAATCCATATCTGCCAAGTGACCCTATGTAGGGGGAACAGTCCGTATTGTGCTCTGTGTCAGTGTGTATCATGGTCTCTGAGGACAGGTGTCAATCCATATCTGCCAAGTGACCCTATGTAGGGGGAACAGTCCCTATTCTGCTCTGTGTCAGTTTGTATCAGGGATCATTATGATAGGTGTCAATCCATATCTGCCAAGTGACCCTATGTAGGGGGAACAGTCCCTGTTCTGCTCTGTGTCAGTGTGTATCAGGGATCCTTAGGACAGTTGTCAATCCATATCTGCCAAGTGACCCTATGTAGGAGAACAGTCTCTATTCTGCTCTGTGTCAGTGTGTATCATGGTCTCTGAGGACAGGTGTCAATCCATATCTGCCAAGTGACCCTATGTAGGAGAACAGTCTCTATTCTGCTCTGTGTCAGTGTGTATCATGGTCTCTGAGGACAGGTGTCAATCCATATCTGCCAAGTGACCCTATGTAGGAGGAACAGTCCCTATTCTGCTCTGTGTCAGTGTGTATCATGGTCTCTGAGGACAGGTGTCAATCCATATCTGCCAAGTGACCCTATGTAGGAGGAACAGTCCCTATTCTGCTCTGTGTCAGTGTGTATCAGGGGCTCTGAGGACAGGTGTCAATCCATATCTGCCAAGTGACCCTATGTAGGGGGAACAGTCTCTATTCTGCTCTGTGTCAGTGTGTATCATGGTCTCTGAGGACAGGTGTCAATCCATATCTGCCAAGTGACCCTATGTAGGAGGAACAGTCTCTATTCTGCTCTGTGTCAGTGTGTATCATGGTCTCTGAGGACAGGTGTCAATCCATATCTGCCAAGTGACCCTATGTAGGGGAACAGTCTCTATTCTGCTCTGTGTCAGTGTGTATCAGGATCTCTGAGGACAGGTGTCAATCCATATCTGCCAAGTGACCCTATGTAGGAGGAACAGTCCCTATTCTGCTCTGTGTCAGTGTGTATCAGGGATCCTTAGGACAGGTGTCAATCCATATCTGCCAAGTGACCCTATGTAGGGGAAACAGTCCCTATTCTGCTCTGTGTCAGTGTGTATCAGGGATCCTTAGGACAGGTGTCAATTCATATCTGCCAAGTGACCCTATGTAGGGGGAACAGTCCCTATTCTGCTCTGTGCCAATATGTCATATGTCAGGTATCAATCCATATCCATTGTGATTTAGGAATCTTAGGTGATTTCTGCCCTTTATGGATTAAAACCAGACTCTGCATCAACTGTGTAATTTTCCATGGGAGTTTTGCCATGGATCCCCCTCCGGCATGCCACAGTCCAGGTGTTAGTCCCCTTGAAACAACTTTTCCATCACTATTGTGGACAGAAAGAGTCCCTGTGTGTTTTAAAATTCGCCTGCCCATTGAAGTCTATGGCGGTTCGCCCGGTTCGCGAACATTTGCGGAAGTTCGCGTTCGCCGTCCGCGAACCGAAAATTTCGGTTTCGCAACATCACTACTAATAACCCAAACATCTTTCAACTGGAAATATGTGCAAATGGCAGATAAACACATAGGACAGAGGAAACACACGAGTTAAGCGGGGGAGAGATGGAGATCGTATCTTAGCGCACAACCAGGTCAACACTGGGGAGGGTGGAAGGTGGGACGGAATAACGAATAATTCAAAATTCACAACCATAACGAAAACACAAATACCGACAGGAAGGGAATTGGAGAATTCTCAAGATAAACTATAGAAAACTATAGAAAGACTAGAATTGCTAAAAAAAAAAAAAAGGAAAGTGTTGTGTATTGGAGATAAAGTGTAACACTGGAATTGTATTTAACCCCAATGATGTAATGAAATGTCCTGCACTCTTCCTTTTCTGTATCCTGGCGGGCAGGCGCCGCAAAATAAACAATGTGATTCACTAATAAAACCAAAATTTTAAATTGAGAAAAAAAAAGAGAGAATCCTTTCAAGGAGTGTTCAAATCTCCTTCTTTTCCCTTTGTCCTTACTTTTTAAAGGGGAAAACTCTCTGCACGTCACTAATTGATAGGACCAATAGGAAACTGTGGGAGTGTCTTCCCTACAGACTATCATCTTAATTTTGGCCTGTAGATGGCACAATTATATCACCAAAAATTCTTGTCAGGGCGTCCATTTACCTCTTTGTATAATGGGTTAACTGAAATTTGTGATGCTTTTTACGTAATTTTTGGTTATCTTTATGGTTACTATAAATCAAAATTCCTGCCAATTTCAAAGACTTTTTAACTCTTATACCAGACTTAGTGTCTGGCATGTACCTTTAAATCTAGCTTCCTGACATGTCTAAATCTTCTTCACCTCTTTTTTACAATAGAACTAGTAATGTTCTGTTAATTATTTTTATTTTTTTAGAAAGTAAAATTAATTACTTAGTTATCTATCATTTGATGATTGTTTTTCTTGTGTGAAACGTTTACATAAGTTGCATTCCTTAGCTCAGACTTGAATGACTAGAGTTACAGAAATAGAATTCTTGTGTCTCTTAGCCTTGTAATACAAAATGGAGTCACCTCTGTTCTGAGAGTGACTGGCAGTATACACTTTTAAGTTATGTCTTAACACAAAATGTCTGCCAGTATAAATTTACTGACAATGTGCCAGCCCTGACAGATACAGACACACACACTGACACATACACAGAAATAAAGATGCACACACTGACACACACAAACATAGATACATACTGAAACACACAGATACACAGACATACAGATACACATAGATAAACTCACACACAGATACAGACATGCATATACACACATTGAACCACACACAGATACACAAACATACAAATATGCACACTAATAAACACACAAACATACAGATATGCACACTGACACACAGACATTCAGGTACAGACTGACATACAGATACGCACATTGACAGATACAGATATATAGATATACAGATTGACAGATACACACACTGACACACATGCAGACATACAGATACGCACATTGGCACACACATACAGATATGCACATTGACACACACAGATACACACACAGGTACACAAACATACAGATATGCACATTGACACACACATATATACAGAAACACACACACAAAGATAGACATACAGACATACATTCATGCAGATGCAGACATACAGACACACACTGACCAGGGCCGGTGCTTGGATTTTTAGGTACATAGGCGAAGATGCCTTTTTCCGCCCCCCCGCACCCCCCCGAAAAAAAACATCTTCATCTATGTGCCTCTTAACCAGCCCCTCTCCCCTCCCTGACCATTAGTAGTCCCTTCCCTTCCCTGTCCCTTAGTGTTCTTCTCCCCTCCCCCCTCTTTTCCCTGTCTCTTGGTGTTTCTCTCCCATTCCCTCCCTGTCCCTTGGTGCACCCCACACCCCTTTAGTGGTCACACTCCCCTTCCTGGTGTGCCTCCTACCTCTATTGTTGCATTGCCGAGTGGAGCAGATCCCCTAAAGGAGCTTCAGTTTTCTGTACCCGGCCGGACTGACAGGGAGTGCTCTCTCTGTGAGCACCTCCTGTCAGTCTGGCCAGGTACAGGAAACAGAAGTTCCTGTACCGCGCTCTGCTCCGCTACACTCTGTACACACTGACAGTCACACACTCAATGACAAACACACAGACGTCACTGACAGACACAGACTCATTGATCTGACACACACTCATTCATTGACACTGACAGACCCACACTGATTGACACTCATTGACAGACACACTGATAGTCACACACAGACTCAATGACAAACATACTCTCACTGATTTGACAGACAGACACACTCATACACTCGCACACACACTCATACAATCACTCACAGACACACACACTGTCACTCACAGACACACACACACAGACACACACTGTCACTCACAGACACACACACTGTCACTCAGACACACACACTGTCACTCACAGACACACACTGTCACTCACAGACACACACACACACTGTCACTCACAGACACACACACACACACAGACACACACTGTCACTCACAGACACACACACTGTCACTCACAGACACACACACTGTCACTCACAGACACACACACTGTCACTCACAGACACACACACACACTCACAGACACACACACACACAGTCACTCACAGACACACATCACATGCATTCACTAATTATTTTATAAATACATATTTTCCACCCAGCCTCCCTACCTGGAGAGCTGGTGTGGATTATGGATCGGTCCCTGGGGCTGCTGGGAGGCGTGCGGCAGTGCTGTGAACAGGCGCGGCGAGGGAGCTCTAATCTCCACCCTCTGCTCCCTTGCGGGCTGCCTACTGATGCCGCGGGAGCCGGGTTGATGACGTCATATTCCGGCTCCCGCGGCATCAGCAGGCAGCGCGCGAGGGAGCAGAGGGTGGAGATTAGAGCTCCCTCGCCGCGCCTGTTCACAGCACTGCCGTGCCGGGGGTCGAGATGGTGGCCTGGCAGGAGGGAGAGCTTCCCTCCTGCCGGTCACTGAAATATTGCGCCCCCAGAGCCCGTGCGCCCTAAGGCGGCCGCCTGTGCCGCCTTATGGACGCGCCGGCCCTGACACTGACCCACACACTGACACACAAACATACAGATC